AAGGTACTTAAAAGATATTATTTCCCATAAGCTACACAGAAGCTATTCCTTTTACAGTCGTGTTCATGAATCATCACATGTTGGCAACCATGTACTCCACAAAAAAAAAAAAAAAATCTGACAGTAAACTAAGCCCCATCTTCATTTCTTACTCCTGAAGGGATCAAGATAATGCACTCAATTACCTTGACAGCTTGATCCCATTAAGACCAATCAGAGTGCAGTTGGCAATCAGATGTAGATATCGGCACATCTCTCTTGACCTCTTTGGCAAAAGAAGAAGTAAAGTTCAGAGAGAAATTCCTCAACCTTGGAAAGGAACAAGACAAGCAGGTTGGAATTTATGTCTCTTTTCCATACAGTAATGTGAATACACCTGAATTCCCCACTGGTGTTCCAAGACACCTCTGCAAAGCCAAGAAAGCAAGAAAAGCTTGCCCCAAATGAACCAGAACTCGAGTTGGACCAGTTAACACTAACTGGCAAAACATCAGTCAAGACCAAGTTGCTTAGTGCTTGCAGTGGTCAGCAGGGTGCTATTCAGAAGGTCATTTTTTTGTGATGCTCAAATCATGTTTTACTTTGGTATCAGCAGCTTCTGTGGTCATCAGGCGAGCTGGACTAGTCTACACGAGGGCTGCTCAGCATGGTTGGTGCAGCTGGCTGGGAATATGCCATTTTACAAAACTATTTTCAGCACTGCTTGCAGCGTTCACACCTGACTGGCTTCCTGACTGACTGACTGACTGTGCAGCTCCCAGATAGCAAAGGCACCATTTTCAGTTTATAAATTCTGATGAATAAACCGTCCCCTGGGGTTTGGCAGGACTTACAGCTGCCTGAGATCTGCTTTAACTTTCTCCATTTGGCCTAAACTCTATGATACAAGATGCCCAAAAGTTACACAACTAAAAGCCATCTTTAACCACTCAGAAGAGCAGACTTATTTTAGAGACTCTGGAAACTACAATTCCTGTGGGAGCATATGGGAATAGTTGCCATGAAAATCAGGCCATTGTCATAAATGAGTGCTTTAGGCACACATGTCTGGGAAAAAAAAAAAAGACCAGTAAATTAAACAGTATCACTGGTGAATGACCTACTGGTGAATAGCACTCTTTTAAATAGCTTGGAGATAGCTGTTTGGATTTCATTTATTGAGAAGTTCATGCAACTATCTTTGCCATCTGCTGTTTAAGGAACACTATGGAACAACAGTGAAAACTGCTTTTTTTGGTGTGGATTTTGTTCTTTGAATGCATTTTTTATGAAGCACGTGTTTGGCTATTTGTTGAGATTTCATCTCAGCAGCCTCTTTGATGACATGCGTTTTTGAAACAGATCCCTGTGACTTATTCCATGGTTAAGTTGTGCCTCCAAGACATAGCTACGACTGCCTGTTGCATATGTCACTGAAATTACTTCAGTAGTTTCAATTTAGCTCCCTGAGTGAGACCCCTTATGATAGTTACAGCCTTCAGTCACATTCTTTTGCTTCAGAAGAGACTTTTCCATACAGGCAGAGAATAGTTTTCTAACAGTGTGGCCCTGACTGGATTTCTTTTATTTTCAGAGGCATTATAATTAATCATATGCATGGTTACGCATTGATCTGCCTGCCAAAAACCAAAACACAGCAACAAGTGAACATCATTAGCCAAATTTTTACAAGCCAGAGAGATCTCCCTAGTTTGCAGCCATCTCTCATCAAGAGATGCACATCTCCAGTCAGCACCTAAGTAAACTTACATGAGAAGAGCAGCTGAATTCCTTGCTTCAAGTCTTTCAGAGTTGGTGTTCAACTCATTGTTTATCAGGGCAATATTTTTATGTTTCCTGCTTTACTGTGTGGTCTAGTGCTTTTTATCCCTCTGGATATAATAAGAATAATGTAACGTCCTGATCTTTACTTCACTGCTGTGAAACAGGGAAGATCTGGTTCCCCTTTTACAGGTAATAACTATCTCCCATGAGGTGCTCTTCAGTAGTAGTTCTGGAGGAACACTTAAAAAAAAATACCCAAACTGTTTCATATCCATCTCCCTGTTTTTGAGAAGAAATTGTGTACAGATCAAATGCACAGTGCTCTTTTTTCAGCCCTACAGTGAGACTTAAATGTAGCTTACATGTTAAGTCCATGTGTGGAATCCTACTTTGTGAAGCACTCACATCCTTCAGCTTTGCCTAGAAGGAGCCTCCCTAGAGCTATGTTTCTGCATATGCTCAGGACAATTTCTGTTCCAACAAGGCTCATTCACCCCTAAATCTGCTGATTAAGAATTTAATCAGATGTCTCCAGTATGTCCTACCACAGCTTTCTGCTACTATGCAATTCAGGTATCATCCATGAGCTGGTTTTAGTAAAATGAATATATTTCACATCAGGTCAGTTTGTAGTGTCGATAACACCACTGCAGGAGCCTTAACAGATCTCCAGAGTTTATTTGTCAGCAGTTTGTATAGTTTATCTGGAATTCTTGAAAAAAACATGTCTCTCTCCTACTCACAGTTGGTGCCCACACATCATTTTTGGCTAAAGCAAAATATCTCGGTCTCTGACGATATATCTAATTAGCTTCCCACCAGATATTACTTTCCATAGGGTAATGATCCTACTGATTTATCTGTTCTTATACAAAGCAAGAGTTTACTGGGAGCTAGAAACCAGACCATCTGTACCAGAGAAGGTATGGATGGAATGCACTTTGAAGACACTGAGAATACAGTTGTAGAGATATGGAAAGATCTGGGAAGCACGATGGATTGTGTCAGTTCTTTGGTAGTTGGGAATTAGGGGTTAGAAAAGAAATGCAAGCATTATACTCTAGTTCCCTATAACAGGCAGTAAATAAATAATATCCAGTGTTCAGGTTATCCTATATTTCTTAAGTATGCTTAGCAATTAACTACAGCTATAAACTAAATACTGAAAATTTGAAAATCATTCAATTTATTTAAAGAATGAGTGGAAATAATTTATACTTAGCACCTATTGTTGAATTCCCCTGCTTTTCAATGGGTTTTCCATTATGTTTTCCAATTTTAATAGAAGTGAAGGAGATTGGACACAAAATATTGTCAAATGTCCAAGGTAAATAAACTGGGGAAAAAAATGAGAAAGATGTATAATTTTCTGTAAGAGCAAAGGGAATATTAAATGAACAATGGTAAACACTGAAGGCATTCTACAAAAAAAGTAAAAAAGGCAGAACGGAGTCCCTTGGGAAACAAATGTCCAAAATGTCCACTGCATCCCAATGAGTGGAATCTTTTTGTGTTGCTTCAACATAGAATATGGAGTGTGAATCAGTCTTGATTTATGCAGTAGATTAATTACACATTTGCAACATGAATCAGATATCTCAGGTTCTGTACTGAGAAAAATCACCTTTATTAGCCCCATATGAATGCTCAGTGCAAAGACCACCCAGTGACAAGGCTTTACTTTGAAGGATGGAGGAAACTGTGTAGCTTTAAATTCTCATGCAAGTGCTGATTCTCAAATTCCTAACTAATAAAATGGGAAGATGGAAAGTCATAGTACATTACAGTAAAAACATTGCACCTGAAAAGAGAAGAAATCACTCATGAGGTTCCCTTCTGGATTTCCCTGTGCTTCTGTGGGATGTCCCCAAACAGAAACAGAAGACCTCTTATCTTAAAGGCTATTATAATACTTTTTCCAGATCAGGACATCACGTAGGTGGTTTAGAAGTTGCATCACTGAATTCATTCTGTTGTTCTGGAAGGGGGAAACCTAAAATGGAGAAAGAAGGCCAGTACCATGTTAAACTACTTAAGAGATCAAACAAAATCAAACTGCAGCCAGCAATGTTTGGATTTTTCCTTTGGCTCCCAGAGCAAGCTGTAAATCATCCAGCAAATGTGCTCTCTACATGGGGGTCAGACAAGAAACCATCTGCCCATACAGGGCAGCCACTTCAGACTTAGCTTTAATTAATTAAATAAATAATGAGTTGTTTAGAACGTGCTGCCAAGTTCCTAAGAAGCGCCCAGAAGTACATAGTCTGATGTACCATAGTCTGATGTACCAGGTCTCTGCCTCATCGTGGGCTGGTGGATTCATGTTCTCCAGAGAGCCTTCAGCATTAAATGTGACAGAAAATGCAGAAACACAAGGGAAGAGCGCTCTGCTGAAGCTGATTGGCTTTGTTCTGACAAGTCTCACATTTTTAATCCCACTGTGGCAGCCTTGAGAAGGCGAGAGAGCTCCTCACTCCTTTGCTGGTTAGCATCTAACCCTTGGTGTCAAAAATCAGGTGTGCTCCAGCTCTCTCATGACAATTGTCTGTTTGCAGGAAAGGAGATAGGATTCACAGTTCTGTGGAGGGTGCCAACCCAGCACACTTCCACTGAATTCAGTCCCAATGGAAAAGCCAGAGAAGCAGGAGGTGGTGAAACTTCCCTGGAGAGCATAGCAACATGGAAGTACATGGCATAGAGAGGGGTAGTATAGGAAGGTGTACTGACGTTTTTCCTGCCATGCACTTTTCCTGTCAATGCATATCAAAAATGTACACTTAAATCTGTTTCTCTGTATTTATCAATCTCCAAACCTATCAAAATTGCAGTGTTTGTTAGTAGTGACTGACTTCACGAAATCAGCTGTTCTGAGACACATCCAAAGAGTAATTTCACAGATGTGAGGAAAATTATTTTCACCTTGGTGTACCTGTAAGTCTACTGAGTGTGGGGCTGATTTTTGACAGAGTAAAGCAGACAAATACAAGAGAAGCCCCGTGATGCGCTGTGAATGCTGAGCTCTACAGCTACCTGCATTCATGACATTTTCAGTGTTTCAATATGGTCAGTCATGGCAGCGATCTGCAAAATTCATGTAAATGACTTCTCATTTTTCTCTGAATGTGCTGTCTACCAACCTCACTTTACTGAAAAGAATTTCGTTTGGAGCCAGCTTGAATATTTTGCTAATATGCTGGCTTCCTGCCGTCACCCAGAGTTGTTTTTTTCCCCCCTAGGCATGGAAAACTCAGTTGTTTGCTTAAAAATGAAGACGTCATGACACCTAGTGGTGAATTAAACAAGAAGAACTTCAGTTTCCTAAAGAACTCGCTGCTGTTTTCCATCATCATGTTGTTCTCATTCATATTGCAGTATGAGAGATGTGGGCATTACCCTCACGAATCTGAACATCCAGGCAGCCACTCTTCTTTTACAGTCCAATGCAACGCCCGTGTTTTGTTGCATGTGACTCCTGCTCCTCTCCACAGAAGGCCACGTTCAATAAGGCCCAGCATGCAGTCAGTCCCCCCCCGGCCATGTTCCTCACTGAACATGACATTTTGAATGGCCATTTATACTGAAATCAACTAAGTGCTTTGACTTTAGAGGAAAAGGGAGCATGGTAGAGTCTTGGCATAAGACCAAATGGGAATTTCAGTCTTTTTTCTCTTGTTAAGGACATATTAATCAAGTCTGTTTTTAGAAGGTGACTCAAGACTGTATTGTATGGCATGCAGCAAATTCCTGGCAGGCAGCTAAATCTGACTCAGTTGCTGGCAAATTCTTCTGCTTTTGAAGACTACTTAGACTCTGCCTTGGTCAGCAGCAGTCAAAAAGCTCATACTGGCTGTGATACCATGACAAGAAGTTGCACTGAAAAGCAGTAAGCCAGTCTAGACATGTGCAAAAAAAAAAACAAAAAACAACCAAAACTATAGGTTCTTTCCAAACAGTGGCAAGCCTGGGAGATTTTTATTTTTTAGAGAAGCAGAACAGTGTTGAGTTCTGCTAATGGTAACTAGGCTGCTGTCACCAAGTGTAAAGCTTTCTTGGCTTATTGAGCCTGCTGGTTGGGGACCAGCCATTTTTTTATCACAAGAATTAGTTTCAGTGCAAGAGATTTCAAGTCAAAACATCACAGTATGCTGTTTGGGAATCTGGGTGCATGCTTCTTTGCATCTGTAAGAGTTGTTAGCAGTGCAGCCTTCCAGTTTCATGTCCATATTTGTGCATGCTATATCAAGCATACTTTCCATTGCCTTCAGCATGACAAACTTGTTTCCCCTCTTCTTTCAGAACAGATGCATGATAGAGTTGCATGTTGTAGCCAACAAATGGAAAATAAATTGCTTGAATATACATGACTTTCTTCATCTTCAAAGATTTATTTTACCATGTCTACATGTATTTAGTACCTGTAACTTCCCCAGTCTGCTGTCCTGGGTATAATTAACACTTCTGCCACCAGAGTGTCTGGATATAAGAGAATGTAAAAACATCAGTTCTGTCCAAAATGTTCCAGTTTCCATCCTTTGAATCATTAGCATGTGACCTATGCTGTGCCAATATTAATAACCATTGCTCATGGCTTTCAAACAACCCAAACTATTTAAAAATTAATTCTGTTTACAGTACTTTCTAGAGGAAGTATTTTGTAGAAGTGAATAACTCAAACTGACTAGTGGCTACCCACAAAATATGACCAGTAACAAAATGAATCATTCAGAATTAGCTGGCAAGGACTGGATGTATTGTTGGAGAAAACATCAAGTGGAGATCAGATCCAACAACTCTAAGTCCTGGGTTCTCCTTCCACTGAACCACATGTTTGCCATGCTGCTGTGACATACTTATACCTAACTGCAATGGCTTAAGCAGGTCACATTCTGTACTTCTTCACAGCTGTGAGCCTAAGTGTCTTTTTTGACTGTTACTGCTAGAAACACTTGCAATTTTAAGTTGCAACCTGTAGGTATATGCTTTACCCTGTCTTTTTTCTCTGTGGAGATGGTCATGAACTTATTCATGGCAGGCTTCTCTGAGGATGATGTGAGCCAAGGGTTGGTGGTACTTCAGTCTTTGCTGACAGTTACGCCATTGCCATTGCTGAAGAGAAACAAAATGAAATGGAAAAGCAGTACTGATTTCCACAGCCCTATAATATGAAATATGTAATGCAGTCCTGGACAGAAAAACTGCAACGTGTGGCAAAAGAAGAAGGTAGGTCCTGCTAAATGCTTGGAGGCCAGTTATTCCGTTTTGTATTTGCCACTGTTAGCATGGGCTTCAAGCAGCCTCTGAACAGTCACAAACAAAAGGAAAAGTCTCCTTGTCTCTAAGAGAAATAGCTTGACAGCTTTATAAGGGAAGGAAACTTGCATACAACTTAGTATGGCTGTTCTACCTTGTGAGATGAAGGTTTTGGAGTGCTAAATGGAAGTGACTTTGGACTGTAGATCCAGCAACAATGAGGTGTTTGGTCATCCTTATGCAGGGCATGAGAGTTTGCTACATTCCCCTATTGACATAACACAACAAGAGTTGTGAAGCATAAAGTAGATGTCAAAGGCAATACTGAAGTGTCACTGTCTGGGCACTAAGAACCATTTTGCGTGGGATTTTGAATGTTCAGCTGGGATGTGCTTTTTTGAACTAGCCTCTGTATTCAGTGCAGAGGTGATATAAATAGCGAGTCCCTCTGAAGTATCAGACTGAATTACATAAATAAGGCTGCAATCACAGAGTCACAGAGTAATGAAGGTCAGAAGGGATATTTGGAGATCATTTGTTCCAGCCCCTCTACTCAAAGGAGGTCCAAGAAGAACAGATTACTCAGAGCCATACCCAGCTGGGTTTTGAATATCTTCAAGGATGAAGACACACAGCCTCTCTGGGCAACCTGCTTCAGTTATGAATCACCCTTACAATTTTTTTCAGATGTTTAAATTGAAATTCTTCTATTTCATATTTGTGTCCCTTGCCTCTTATTCTTCCACTGGATACAATTGAGAAAAGCTCAGCTTTATTTTCCTTATATCCACCAAATCAGGTATTCATATTTGTTGATAAGTTTCTCTCTGATGCTTCTCTTCCCAAGGATAGAGAATCCCAGCACTTATCCTCTCCTCCTGTCATATGCTGCAATCCACCCGCTATCATTGTGGCGTTTCACAGGAGTGGCTCCCAAGTGTTCGTATCTTTCTTTGACTGGGAAGGCCAGCACTGGATGTAGCACTTGAGATATGGCTTCTCCAGGGCTGAGAAGAAGAATCACCTCTCTTGTCTGGCAGGCCACACTCTTCCTTACTCATCCACAGAAACAGTTGTCTGCATTTGCAGCAAAAACACATTGTTGGCTTATTTTCAACTTGTTGCCCACCAGGACACCCAGATTAGTATCTGATGTCTAGTTTCACAGTAATGACCATTTCTAGCTGCAGTTTTCTTTGGCTTTCTAGATTTAATTGCTTCAATTTCTCTATAATACATAGATTAACATGCTCAGGTCTGTTGAATTGCATGAACTGTTAAAATCAATGCTATTTAACTATCTACAAACACTAAAGACCTAATAGGCCTCCAAGCTCACCGAGTTAGCAGACTGGATCGTGTGTAACTACCATGAGCAAAGAGAAGCAGAAACAAGTTACTTGTTCTCTGGTGAACCTGGATCATGCCAAACCATGAACCGTGCTGTGCCATACATTTCAATGGCATCCTAACAACGGCAGAAAATCTTGAAATGAGAGAGGAACCACCTTTCCTAGTAATCTGGTTGTTCTACTTCTGGTGGTTGTTCTCTGCATACACTTCTTGGCTACCTCCCAGCCTTACATTTTTCAGCTCAACAACAGAAACAAAAAATCACTATTTCCCTAGTAATGAAGTGAAATCCTTCTACAAAATGTAACTATCTGCGTTCTCCAAAGAGCAACAAAAGTGGACACAGTGAGTTAACACTCTGAAAACAGGAAATACCCCTAACCAACTCTCTATGTCATCACGTAACCTAGATTTCAGTCAAGAATTTGGGTGTTGTTTTAGATAACAAAATAGAACATGTGTTCATCATTAATCTTCTTGAACATTTGCTCGGCTAGAAACTGTCTCTGATCAACCTACTTATGTAAACAGATCCATGCTTCAGACAGAAGTGGTAAGATGTTATTCCAAGTATATTGTAGGGAATCTCTCTGTAGCTCTAATGAGATACAGTTAATGAAAGACTCTGCACTGATGGCAGAACTCCAAAGACCTTTATATTTTGTTTATATTTTGAAATTGAATTAAAATTTATCTTGGATCAAAGGAGAGAAATATTAGCTCCAAAAAATCTACCATTTGTCCCTACTGTAGTTAAGGTCTAAGTATCATTTCTGCGTCTGGCTTGCAAATAAGTGGAAAGCTTTTTTCCTCCTTCATTAGCAAATGGAATATGCTGCATTCAGTGCAGCTGAACACCACAGGAAGGTTTCCATTCATCATTTAATTTTTCACTGTTAGAAGATCATACAAAAATGAAGGAGAAAATGAGAATCATCAAGCTTGGTTTATCCAAGGAAAATAAATGTTGCATTTTATTTGTCCCATCCAATTCTGGGCACAGTCAATGTATTTCATTTATGTTTGGTAGTGTGGTGAGAAAAAGCTAAAAAAAAAAAAAAAAATAGTTCCAGAATACTAAATTAAAAGATGCAATTTCCTACAAGGTTTTTCTCCCCATAGTTATTTCTTCAGTCCATTTTGTTTTAGAACAAAATGAGAACAAGCAAATGCCTGTAGTGCTGTCATTCCAGGGGCAATACATGAGTGGGGAGTGAGGACCTTTGGGAGCTGTAATAGCCACAGCTACTTGCAGGCTATGAAGTTTCATTGTCTCCATTTTCTCACTTATAAGATGTAAAATATATCTAAGAACAAGCCAAGAACTGTATTTGCTCTCACTGCTGGGGGGATTTGTGCTTCTCAATTGAAAAGAGTTAAAGCTTTAACAGGTTGAAGGTTAATCTAAGGCTTTTAACTGTCTGATGGAAATTATGTCCAAATACAAGGAACCCCAAGACTGCAATAAACATAATCATTATAAATATTTATTTCTGACTGTGCCAATTCCAGAACACAATATTTTAATTGCTTTATATATTTTGGCAATTGTCATGAAATGCTTCCAAAGATCTTACAGATACGGAACTCCTGAGATACAGATATCTATTTTTACAGATATTTATTTTTATTCTTGAATTCAGTTCAACCTTGACAATTGTTTTAAGAATTCTTTACAAAGTTCTGCATTCAGTTTCTGGGACAATAATACAGAAAAGACTGTGTTGACAGACAGACTGGGTAATAAGGAAAGGATGAAAGCTGAAGCAGACAGAGAAAAGGAAAATCAAATGCCTGGGGCTTTGAAAAGATTAAATACTTTTCTATGTAAAGAGAGTTTAGTAACTTTTAAAAGGTGACAACTGCTATAAATGACATAGTAAATGCTGCTGTTTCTTCTCCCTCTCCATGACAGGAATTCAGCTGCATTTTAATTGTGGCACTGCTAAAGCCAGATTGAAAAGCTTGCAGCCAATCAGAAATACTGAGAAAGAAATTAAACTAAAACAAGGCATGCACTTCCAAAAGCATATGTATTGGTGTCAGTCCTCTTCTGCCTGGAATTCTGTCCCACAGAACTGAACAGTAACGAGTCTTCAACATACTGTTTTTAGCCCTAAGCATTGCTCTGCAGCCCCTTAACACTGTTTATCCACCACACTGCTGTCATGACAAAATTTGATTTAAAGATATGATTCCATGGTTCTATACACGATTGTACTCCATAGTAATCTAGATTTCTTGTTTGAAATGGTCTGAAAATACAAAAATCCGTCTTTGGTCGTTACATAAGCTTGTTTTGAAAGCAAAAAGAAATTAGAAG